AAAGTCAGAATTCTAAAATTAAAGTCAGAATTCTGAGAAAAAAAATCATAATTCTGAGATTAAAGTCACATTTCTGAGAAAAAAGTCAGAATTCTAAAATTAAAGTCAGAATTCTGAGAAAAAAAATCATAATTCTGAGATTAAAGTCACATTTCTGAGAAAAAAGTCAGAATTCTAAAATTAAAGTCAGAATTGTAAGAAAAAAACCCAATAATTCTGAGATTAAAGTCACATTTCTGAGAAAAAAGGAAGAATTCTGAGATTAAAGTCAGATTTCTGAGAAAAAAGGCAGAATTCTGAGATTAAAGTCAGATTTCTGAGGAAAAAAAGTCAGAATTGTGAGATTAAAGTCGAAATTCTGACTTTTTTCTCATATTGAAATAAAATGTAAAAATCAGTTAACTTTTTAAATTTTTTTTCAGTGGCCCAAATCCTCTTCCATACAGACATAATTCTGGTAGCCTACGTAATTTATTATGTGCTGTGCGTCGCCTCTGCTGTGCCGCCGGTGCATTTTTTTAACATTTCTGAATATAATGTTTGAAACAAACGGTTTCATAGAACAACAAAGAAGATAACTGCTACAGAAAATTAAATCTAGCCTTCGTCTGTTTTGTGTTGCGGATCAGCTGCGCCACATTAAGACATAACATCACTTTATCCATGGTTCCCTGGATCACAGTGCTGTCCAACACCGAGTTCACTTCTTTCTCAAAATGATGTAAAAGGTCAAAGCAACTGCATTCATCATCCCAGCTCTGGAAGAGACAACAGTCTCATCTTCATCTTCATCCTCATCCTCGCTGCGCGCGACACTGCTAACCGCACCAAAGCGCTCGTGTACCTCCAAGTTGTACGCGTAATTTTAAAATTATTTTTACAGATGTTTACATTTATAAATTGACCAAAAATGAACACTATAAGCGGATTTCTTGACTACTATAAAATTATTTGTATAGAAATAATTCTGTCCCAAGCCTTTTGATTCATATAAGCGTTTAATTACTATATTAATTACCACTATAAGCGGATTACACTGTAATTATAACTGAACTGTCAAATATTGCCGCGGGAACCCATTCCTGGAAACGCACCTGCATCAAATTATAATTTCTCTTTTGTATTATTTCTCAGCCAATGCGCATGCGTGAAGAGTCATCGCTCGTTGCCATAGAAACGTCAACTAACGTTGTCAGGACAGTTAACTCCTCAAATCTGAAATCCAACGGGTAAAGTTGAACCCATTTATGAATAACCAGCTTAGGTAAAAACTGTAGATTTCTCTGATTGAATTCATTCACATTTTTTCTTCTTTTTAAGAAGAATTTAAGAAGCAGATACAGAATGAAGTCAACCTGCACAGGTGAGGCAGCAGATTTCAGCAGCAGCGATGATGAGAGGCGACAAGGCTTTGGTGTTCAGGAGTGGCCAGATGGGTCAAAATATGAGGGCGAGTTTGTAGAGGGACTCAAACATGGCAAAGGACGCTACACCTCAAGAAATGGAGAGGTAATGTGTAACCAGTTGAGCAGAACCCTCTGCCAGTGTTTCATTCACTTTAACTGAATCTTTTTTTCTTTTTTTTTTAGTACTATGAGGGCTTTTTCTACAAGGACTTTAAGCATGGGGACGCAGTGTACTGCTGGCCCACAGGTCACACGTTTACTGGTAAGTTCTACCTGAACAGGAAGGAAGGATATGGTCATTTCAGCTTTCCAGGTGGAGCCGTTTTCCAGGTGAGCGTCTAGCACTGTTGCCAGGGTTACATCAATAGTACTACAATCTGCAAAAGTAAACAAGCAATAAAAAAATGTTCTCCTTCCACATACTCAGGGTTTGTATCACAGGGACCAGAGGTTTGGTCCTGGAGTGTTCACTTATCCAGATGGGAGGCAGGATGTGGGCCTCTGGCATGGCCAGCGCCTGCTAAAGCTCTGCTCCTCTTTGGGAATTGGCTTTAGCTTGCAACATTTCCCAGAATATGCTGCCTTCATGAAACCTCATGTCCACGAAGCTTTGATTCAGGTAGGTAGTGAGATGTTGCTACATATCTGCAGTGTTTTTAATTATATCACATTTACTGTATTCCATAAAAGTAAAAAAAAACGGAATGACTATGACCTGGATGACTGGGAATCTTCATCAGCACACATTCACCAATTGGTTTGGATTCACTATTTAAAATGTATTATGGTCCTTTACACAATAAACAAGTTAAAAGATTTGGTTTTAGTTAGAGAAAGTGATGGCAGAGTGGGTTAGAACAGTGCGCTTGTGCTCTGTACCTGGTTTGATCCCCACAGCCTCCACTCTGGGTTACTGAGCTAAATCATTAACCCACACTGCTCCCCAGGCGCCGCACAATGGTAGCCCACTGCTTCCCAAGGGGATGGGTTAAATGCAGAGAGTGAATTGCTTCGTACTTGTGACAATGTAATGACAATAAAGTTGAATTCTCTTGTAGTTCATTTACAGTTCATACAATTCCTTATACTCCAGGTCAAAATATGATCAAACTACTTTCCTGCACCTCTGAGTTTAAATTTTAAATCATTAACATTAATGTAAATAATATGCTACTTATTAAAAATCACCCCATCTATTTTAGTATAAGAGGCTAATTTTATTTGATTGACTGTAGTTGTTATTGAAAGTATATCAAATTTACTAATGATTTCCCATCTCATGCTAAATATAATTTGTAAATTGTTAACTTTTAATGGAATCCACCTTCATTCATAACCAATTCTTAGGTTTCTGAACATTTTTACAAATTAAAGACTTAATTTTTGTAAATAGTTTTTTAAGTAGATATTACAGGTTTTAATATAAGTTAACATAGTTTATAAATCTTTCTATGGGGGTAATAAATGTGTCCAGTTACTGTATGCCTAAATGCCTATTTACCTCTGCTCTGTCTTTACTAGGCTGACAGTCATGCAAATGGTTTATTGTCAGAACCACTGGAAGGCTTTCAGGTAAATTACTGCAGTCAACTCTGTTAGCTTTTGAACAAACAGCTTCCAAATCACTTTACTTCCCCTTCATCTCAGGTGGGCATAGATAAAGATCTGCTGTTAGACGAGAGCTTCATCCTTCCGCCTGGCATTGAGCGATATTCTATTGATGGTGACCATTTGCCACTCACTCCTGGCCGCAGAAAAGAGTTAGATCGACTCTTTCACGGAGAGCTGTGGGAGCAAGATGCTCCTTCATACCAAGGATATGAAAGGGAGCCTCTCTCTGCTCTCCCCTTACACGCCCACATGCAGGCTCACATACACAGACACAGGTTAGACATGTTTGGAGTTGAGTGTAGAGTCAGCTTTGTACTGAGAGGGGGGAAAAAAACAGGTTTATCTGAGATATATGTATTTTTCAGATTGCAGGCTGAAAATATTGGCTGGGACGTTGCAGCTGTCCTCTCTATGAACAGGGATAACTTTGGACCCAAAGGACCTCTGGAAGTCAGTTCAGAACAGTTGATTCAGCACAGCTTCAGAGGGGACCTGAGGGCTGTGTCACAGATCTTTCTGACAGACTCGGTCTGTCCAGATGTAGCTGATTCCCAAGGACAAACCGCACTGATTGCTGCAACTGTAACATTTCTCAACTTGAACTTTCCTCCCCTCCATATGTTGCCATACTCAGTTTATAGTCCTCAATAACCACTTTGTGTTTTTTTTTTTTTTTTTGTATCTTTGTCAGATAAACTGCCATAATGAAGTGATCCATCGTTTGTTGGATATAGGTGCTAATATTGACCAGCTGAACAGGGAAGGAATGTCAGCTCTGGCTGTGTGCCATGTCCTCTACTATCCCTTTCAGTCTCTGCACACAACTTTGATTCATCCACCCACCAGAGCTCAGGTAAGAAAAAGCCGTGTTCATCTCATAGATAATAAAATATATTGCAAATGTATTCAACCTCATTTTACCCAATACCCTTTAATGAAATCCAGAACAAACAATAAGAGGGGCTGAATAAAAAAACTATTTAGTCCTTGTATTTATTGATCTTTTTTTTTTACTTCCTTTACAATTAGGCCCTTTTTTTTTTGTTCACTTATTGCATGAGATCCTCCAGAAATGCACTTAAGAGGAAAAACTGTTTGAGGTGTAAATATATTTACAGGGTACTGTGTATTTGAAAATCTGAAGTAAATTAAGAGAAATAGGAGAAGTAATTATTTAGTTACTCAAGGTTTTTCATGTTTTTTCCAGAGACTGGAAAAAGCCCATCTGTTGTGTTTTTTAATCATATCTTTAATGTGTTGTTAGGTGTTGACGTTTCCACCTAGTGAGAATAGAGCTCAAAACAACCAGGCCGACGTCACATTGGAGACACAGGTCCTTAACAAAGAGCCTCAGGCTAAACACACAAATATGATGGATGAAAACATAGTCAGCCAGCCCTCTAAGCTGTAAGGATTCATGTACACAATCACATTTTTTTGAAAAAAACATAAAATTATAGATTTTTTACTGTTTAAAAGCTTTTTAAAACTGTAGCTCCGTAATTATTGTCTTTCTAGGGCATCTGAAGAACTACCTGTGCACTTCTCACATGGCCGCATTGAAGAGGTCACTTCAGACCCTGATCACCTCTGTGAGAAGGAGAGACCAGAGAAAGGAGAAGATGAAAGCTACGAGGACAGAGAAAAAGTCCGCTCAGCCCATAACTATGACATCGCCGTAACAGAAGGAATGCTGCAGCACTCAGCTAAGGCGCTGAATCGACCTCAACAGTGTCACTTGAAGGAGACTGCTCGCAAAATGGCTGCCATGCAAATCGAGTAAGATCCATTTCTCCTTCACTTGCTGTTTCTTTTATCTTTTCTTTCTAACAATGATGATTATGTGCTGTGTGTTGGGCCAGGCGCCATGTGCGATTAGACACCCTGAAGCTTCTACTGGACCGTGGAGCTGACCCTAATCTTTGCAGGGTCCCCATGCCAGTTCTCTTTTTAGCCACCATGGCGGGGGATGCTGAAGTAATCAGAAAACTGCTCCTCTGTGGAGCTTGCACTGATATTCCTTTACCAACAGAGGTAGGAATCCTCCCTGTGAATCCTCAGTTCAGAGGAAATTCTGAAATTGAATCGGTATGCCAAAAATAACGTAAAAGCACAAGAAAGAAAAACTAAAGGCATCGTCCATGTTTAATGATATCCTTACTTTTCCCTAACCTATTGTTGCTTCTTTCTATAAGTCTGCCTCAGCAGATGTTCGCTTACACTGAGCCTGGTTCTGCTGGAGGTTTCTTTCTGTTAAAAGAGAGTTTTCCTCTCAACTTTCTCCACAAGCATGCTTGGTGTGAGGGATTGCTGTAGAGTCAATGCAATCAACTGGTTTTGAAATTTGAACCAATCTGACTGTATGATCTGGTTGAATGATCTCTGTAAAGTGTCTTGAATGAATCAAGCAATCTTTATTGTCAACTACAATTTACATTGCAATCAAAATTTCAGTTTCAATAGAAACCGTTCATCACAATACATAACATAGATGTGTTGTGAATTAGAGCTATGTAAATAAACTGAGTTAAATTGAGCTGTGAAGTTTGGGTAATTCCCAGGTTTCTTACCATTTTTACATTCACAGTTAGAAAGATGGAGTTTCCAAAGTTTCTAAAATAGATCTAGGAAATTAAATAACCAAAGTGAAAAAAGGCCACTTAGTTTTATTCTGCTCAACAGATATTTGATCATTTTAACATCTCAATCTTTGTTTTTTCAGAAATGTCAGAAAAACAAAAATACCACCATCACCAACGTAAAGCTCTAGAACAGTTCAGTCCTCAACTACCAATTCAATTCATTTTATTTTTATAGCACCAATTCACAACATATGTAATCTCAAGGCACTTTGCTGAGACAATTTAACCAACAAGCCCCACTGCTCTGCATGTTTTAGATGATTATATGAGCTCCTCAGCTGCCATCAAGAGCTGCAGAATGCTGTTGATCATCCCTTCATACAAGTGATGTGTGTGATACAAAGGTGTAACCTAAAACTTGCAGGACAGTGGTGCTTGAAGACCAGGATGGAGAACCACTGCTCTATAGTTTGCTAAAAGATACACAGGGATTTCACTGGAACTGTGTTCATTTAACATTTTGGATTGATGCCTCCTCCTTACTGTTAGGTACAGTGCAGGATCTGTGATGCTTAGCAGATGTTTCTCTATTAAAGGCTTCTGGCTTGTTTGAGCAAATGGCATCAGAAACTAAAATACCATGAAATAGCAGATACAAAAAAAACAACAACAAACAAGCATAAACCCAGTGGCCTTTACTAGAAAGTCACTAAATATACAGTCTAATCAGAAAATAAATTCAATTTTTTACTTAGTTACTACAGCCATTAAGCTGCTAATATAAAAGCCATTTTATTTATCCGTAGGAGAAAGGTTTTTATCCCCTCCATGCTGCTGCTGCATTGCCCGGTTCTAAAGGTCCAGAGGTCACTGAGCTCCTTCTGCATGCTATCACCAACCCAGACGCTCAAGCATGTGACCAAGATGAGATCTATGCACCAAATCTGGTGCATTTTTATTCACACACTAAAGCATATGATCATATAAATAGATATATATATTTCTATAAAAACAGAGGTTGATATCCAACTGTTTGTTTTGGTCTGTGACAGATCTCCATGAAGGATAATGAAGACCAGGACTCTGGATTGAACCTGCATCTGACAGAGGGGGGTCGAACGGCTCTGCACATAGCCTGCCAGAGAGAGAGTGACTACTTGGTCAGTAGGCATAGTTCACACATTCGTAGCTGTACACATCCTTATCCATAGGAAATGTAAAAGTCATATAATCTCTCTATAGTGAATTCAGCTTCTGACACCACTGGCTCCTGAAGTTACTGACTTGTTTGATGAAAACCAAAGTTGATTTGGGTTTAATGTGATATTGATTGTTTTTGGAACAGACGTATTTGAGTTTGTGGTTTATGTTTTGTTTATTGGCTGTGAAACAAGGTATTTAACTCCTTGCATATTCTTCCTGTTGTTGCTTATTTGGTGCATTGAGATGTTTCAGATTATTAAACATTTTTAGATTCAAAGCCCTAAAAACGGTTATATTAAGCCATTTTAGGTCTTTGAAAACAAGAGTAAGAACCATTATTAACAATTGGGAAAACTGACGAGTCTTACCTCGAGTTTTTCCTTCCTGCCATAAGTAATCCAGGAGTGCAGGAAGTTGTAAAAAAACCCTGATATGGTGAAGTAATGTTGGATTTGGATTTGTTTTTTTTTTTTTTTTTTTTTTTTTTTTTTTTTTTTTTTTAAAGATAGAATCATTATTGAAAAATTTTAAGAATAATCTATATTATTAAAATTAACCCCAGTTTACTATTCAAATGTTTTTGAAGATCACACCACTTCACATGATATTTACTTCAATTGTTTTCTAAACGTCTGTTGTTTTCATTATGTTGCCTACCGCTCCCTTCATTTAAGCACATCAACAAGGATTTGCTTAGTGAATATACATGACATCCTTCATTTCTGTGCATCTGCAGAATGCCTGTAAGGTGGTGGCCCTTCTGCTCTCTCACAGAGCCAGAACAGATCTCCTCTGGAGTGGACACTCACCTCTCTCTTTGGCTATTTCCAGTGGCAATGACTTGGTACAGACTCCCTTTATTAAGTGCATTACTTGTTAAAAAAAATATGTATAGCATACATCATGCACACTAAAACTTCCCTCTTTTCTGTTCTCAGGCAGTGGATGAGCTCTTAAAGGGAGGCACAGATCCTAATTTACCTTTGGGCAACAGAGTTGGCAGTGCCCTCTGCACCCTCACCAACTTCAGCTACCCTTTATGTGGCAACAGAATTAAGCTGGTAAATGCAATAAGACAGATATATCATACTGTAAATGCAAATTAGCATTTATTTATGATTTTATGCCACAGGCTTTTAATCCCCTATAGAGTGACCTGTAATAAAACTGCAATTTTTTCCAACTTTCACATTTTTTGGCTAGACATTTCAGAACCTACCAGCCTACCAGTCAAAACTATCCTCCCTTACATGCACCCATTAACCAACATAATTACATAAATGAAGAAAAAACTGTAAAAGTTCACCAAAATTCATAGTCAACAGCTTTTTTTTTTAAAAACAGTGTCCCTGGCAATGTCGCAATAAGAATAATTGTCTTGATGCCAAAAAAAAGCCCAACAGATTTTACTTTCACAAGTGGAGCAGTAGGGCAATTGCCATAGTGTTCCACTTGTTTCATGCATATAAATTGCTTTATTATATTTATGCAGTGAGTTTTACAGATTATATGGCCACTGCAATGTAAGTAGAACAGAAGAGGAAAAAACAGAAAAAAAGAAGAAAAGTTGAAAGAAAGACGAGATAAAAGGGAGATAAAGATAAAACTTTTTCAGTCTGCTTCATCACCTGCAAAGAGATGAAAAAAGAACAGCAAAACCAACAGATATGGTACGAGTCATAAAATAAAGTAACACCTAGATACTATCGCTGAAGTGGTATTATTTAATCTGACATGTACTCTGTGTTACCTGAAGATAATAGTCAACAGCTTAATTGCAGGCAACAATGTTAGCCATATTTGTTTGAGATCCAGAAAATTAAACATTTTGTCATGTACAGCAGTTGCTAGCTGTGGCTAACAATCAGGTGTAACCTTTAGAGGCATTGCAGTTTGGTTTGTCAGAAGCACCAGCAGGGTGGCTTTTTTCCTCCTTTTTAAACTACGTCAGACATAGTGTCATATTCTTTGCTTTATTTGGTGGCGAAAATGGCAGCAAGAAAGTTAGAGCAAAAAAGGACCCAAACTCATCTTGTCATCACGCATCATGATCAGGGAGGTAAACAACATTTCTAAAGCTGTCTGTTAGAGAACGGCAACAAAGAAATTGTCAAAATATCAGGGCTGACCAAGTCTAAACAACCATGATATTTGCAAGCTTTAACAAGGTTGATCTAGCATTAAACAAACCAGAAATGTATGGAAGAGCTTCTCATTCTCCTTAAAAGTATCTGAGATTCTATCAAAAATGAGAATTCATCATCATTGGGTTTTTTTTTTTCTTGGCAGAATAAAAATCAATTACCAGATTCAAAATTTCATTTTCATGACTAAATCCTATAGAAAATATGTGATGCAACCTGAAGAAAACACCAAAGACTGTGGGCAGAGCCACAACCTGCATCTCTAAATGATAGATCAGGAGTGCCAATAAATGGGGAACCATAGGTTTTACATTTTCCCTGTGCTTGCACTCAGGTTTCCTCCCACAGTCCCTAAAATGAATGTAATTACTCTAAAATCCTGTCTGTTAATGTAGGCATATGTTGTGTTGTTTTTGGTGTCTTCTTGTTGCCCTGTGATGTTTTCCAACCTGTCCAAAGGTTACTTGACTTCTTGCCTAATGGCCATTTGAGAATGGCTAATAAGTGTAGCTGCTGTAAAACAGTTTCTTGATATATTTTAAACTATGCTGTTTTTAAATATAAAGCAGAAGCATTAGTATTCGAATTTCTTTTTTAATGACTGACATCTAATTGTTTGTTTATAGTTAAAGAAGTTGGCCAAAGCTGGTGCTAATGTCTCAATGCCAATTAGAGTGGGCAAATGGGTGGGAACAGCTGTTGACTTTGCACACTACTCCGTCCAACAGGTAAATTAGTTTAGTTGGTCATATTATATACTGCATAGTAATATTTTACAACTATGATCTATTTGGTAATGGGGAGCAAAGTAAATAAGACTGTGGTTTGCATATGCCTCTGTCTGATTTTTTTTTTATGTTATACTGTAGGATCAATGTAGGATTCGTGGTATTTCAATCTTAAACAGAGAGGAGAGGAAATTATTGGATGCACGGCGCCACCTGCTTGATCAAATGACCAGTCTATTTAGAATGACTATTCGGACAGGTAAGAAACATCTTTTACTCAATAGTAACTCAACATTTGAATTCTTTTTTTGCATTACTGTTATGATTTATACTTAACCTCAAATGTTTAGTTCTCTCAAAAAATGTTAAAACATTGATGCCTTTTTATCATCCCTTTTATCTCCTCTTCTTCTTCATCATCTTTTCTCCTTTTTTCCTGTTTTTCCTTTCCAGTTCTACTTTCCCATTGCAGTGTCCATAAAGATCTGTAATCTTTTTATATGCATAAATCAAGCGGAACACTATGGCGAAAGCCGTTCTGCTCTACTTGTGAAAGCAAAATCTGTTGGGTTCTTTTTGGCATCAAGACAGTTATTCTTATTGCCACATTGCCAGACAGGACACTGAAAAAAAGAGAAAAAAAAAAAACATTAATCTAGTTTTATGCTTCTGCATTGTTCTGCATTTTCTGCAAAAATATTCCCACAACTTTGATGTCAAAATAATGCATTTCTAGAGCTGTCAAAAAATATTATTTCAGATGTCCTAGNTTTTTTTGTCTATATTCTCATTGGTAAACTTCAGTCTGTCTTTCTCTTGATGTACTGAAATGCTCTTTTAATGTCAATCAATAAACAAGCTTGTTTTAAATCCTATGATGACATTTAAGGAGCTTGTCAGAGTTTTCAGAATAAACTTGCATGTTTTGTAGCTCCTTTACAGTCTATATTTCCTCTACCTCTAAACACACTTTAATTTTACTTGAACTTTCATTACATTCATATGTGATATAAAATATCCAAACTGTTGTTTTTTTTTATATACAATTTTTACTTGTTTTCTATGGTATATTTGAATGGTTAATTAAACTCTTATAAACCCCACAGTTTATAAGAGTGATGTGTCCTTAGACAGTCCAGCACACGGCTCTGAAGGAAAATCAGAGGCAGCAAAATCTCACAGGTAGGCATTCTACCATCTTATGCTTCTGGCTTTGTTCATATATATAACCTTTCTACCTCCATTTCACAAACCTGTGTTTGTATATCTGACCTCAGGCAGCCAGTGCTTAAGTTCTGCTGTCACTGCGGTCTCTCTGCTTCTGTCAAGCTGACTGCTTGTCGCCGTTGCCTTAAGGTTTTCTTCTGCTCCGTGGCATGGCAAGAGAAAACATGGGTTGAAAGGCACATGAAGAAGTGCTTTAAGATGTCAGGTGGGAATCAGCAGATCTTCTCCCAACAACCAAAGCCCAGAAAAACCTAAACAGGATCAGAAAATTAGAAGCAGAAATTTGGTGCAAACCTAAATGTATACGAAACCTTGTTTGGAGTCTTAGGTTCAGTTTGTAAAATTTTCACTTGACTTTTTCTATAAATGCTGCTCATATCACGACAGAGTGTGTTGTGTTTAAAACACAAAGAGGCCCCAGACCCACCACGTTTAAATAATATTTAAAATAACTTATGAAAAAACTGATGTTGTTTTTTTTACCCACAATTTATTTTTCCATTTTATTATTTCTAATAAACACTTTGAGTTTGGAAAAAACAAGTTGTAAGAACTCTTTTTTATTTTTTTAAGGCCTCAGCTTGTAAAGCTCAGTCGCTGTATCCTTTACAATAGATGATAAGTTTTGTTTTATTTTTCTTCTCATTTTAACTACAGAGAGTGAACTTGAAGCTGTGCTAGACTGAAATCATTAGCAAAAGTTCAAAACTGCATCCCAGTTGATTTGACTTAGTGAGACATTTGCAAAATAATTTGACTGTAAAAGTAGTCAAAAGCAACTTGACACTGCCATGGCTTTCTATATTTAGAAAGCCCTCTTCTGGACCAACTCACAATCTGATAATAAGTACACTGAAAAAACTATTCATAAGATTAACTTCAAAAATATATTGTAAGTATTTGTATGCAAATAATTTAAGTAAAATTTTATTCTCCAGTATCAAGTAACTCATTCTTGGCAGTAAATTTTACTTTTCATAAGACATAACAGTTGTGGAGATATTAAGTAATATTTGCTCAATTACATCCAAGTTGTAAGTTAGATTTATTTAAACGAAGTAAAGTGTACTTGTTCTTCATAGGCACAAACAACCATTGATGCACACAGTCACACCTTAGGAGAATTTAAGCCAATTAACCTAACAGTCGTGTTTTTGGACTGTGGGAGGAAGCCTTCTTGCTGCATTCGGCAGGGCTACCCACTGCTCCACTGAGCAGCCCTTTAACTGATATCTTACTTTTCAAATATGCAATAAAAAATTTACAACCCTCTGAAACTCTCAGTAAAACATTCCTTACTGTTTCTGTAACATTCATTACAGAAATATACTTATATGTAAGATCAAGAATATTTAACTTACACAAACATGCTCAAAACAACTTCTGGGCGAGGGTCAGAACACAAACAGCCACTTACGCATTTAGCAGTGCTGTAAACATTATGTATTTCTCTAATTAAATGAAAAAAGCATGCACAAATATAGCATTAATAGTAAAAGTGCATTATGTTGTACTGCATTAGAATTTGTACCAAAAAAAAGGGTTTGTATGACTTGTAAACAACAAATACAGAGTAGATCATATTCAACACAACACAGGTCTGGTAATATAGTCCCTCCTCAAATATGCGATAAAAATGTTACAAGCCTACAGAATGAAACTGTGCAGTTTCAACATTTAATCAGAATCAGAATCAGAAATACTTTAATAATCCCAGAGGGAAATTACTTAAACCAGTCATCCAGACTAGTGAACTTTTAAGAATGCAATTAAAACACTAATGAAGGAAAATCAACACAATTAAAAATTAACAGCTTAAACTGTCTAAAGAATAAAATCTCTACTAGATATCTGAATAAAGGTATCTGTTGTATTTTGCAAAATAACATGTACCTTGTTTGGCAAAAAATAAAAAAAACATTAATGACAGGCAACCTTCCACTAAGATTAACTGGAACTCACTGCTAATTCTTGGCCTTTGATACCATATTTTCTAACCCTAAAAGTTATGAATACATTTAGGAAAGCAACTTCATCTTCAGAGTGTTTATTTTTGGGGACAGTTTAAATCCATCCAACTCTAGGAAAAGTTTTTGGAAGACTTCAAAAGTGTAGCGCAAAATGGGAGGGTATGCCAAGTTCAGGGCATATATCAGTCCCATGAGCAGCGAGCAGGCCTTTGCAGCACTGCTGCACCCTGCCAAAATGACGGTCATTGGGACTACCTCCTGCTCTGTGTGTGTTCCTGTAACGTCTGGACTCGGAGCAGAATCAGTCTGCTGTGATCTACAGTGCGAATGCATTTCAAAACGCTACATTTTTATGTAGTATGTTTAGGTTTATGGACAGTACATACTGCTATTAAACATTTAGATGGTATAAGGAACTCTAAGTAAAACTTACTCTTTCTCCAAAAATAATGTATAACACTAAAAAAAGGTTTAATTTTACTTCAGAAACCCTGAAGTTTTTACCAAAGCATAACAATACAGAGTAGAAATTATGATGAATACTCTAATAGAGTTTACTGTACCAAAAAGTCTCATTCTCTCAGATCAGAAAGGTCAGCTGCATATACGCCAAAGCTTTGTTGTTATGGGTTCACCAATATCAAACAAATAANTCTATATTCTCATTGGTAAACTTCAGTCTGTCTTTCTCTTGTCTTTCTCTGTACCAAAAAGTCTCATTCTCTCAGATCAGAAAGGTCAGCTGCATATACGCCAAAGCTTTGTTGTTATGGGTTCACCAATATCAAACAAATAACTGGAGCAGTTTAAATCCCCCAATAGACGGGTATAACACCAACAGGGTATAGGTAAATTAGTATGCCTATAGCAAAAGAATACACAGAAATCTAAGATTAAACCATATTTTCTATCTACTCATTTTTTTCTAGTTCTAAAAAAAATGTTGGGTTTAATATAGTTCTGCTTTCACTGAAATTATTCATTTATCCTAAATGATCATTTTAGCTCTTTGTAAATCCAAATATTTCAGGTGTCTTCATGCTTTGGTTAAAATCTTATGTAATCTGCCAATGAATTGTCTGGTCATCAACCTGCAAGGCGTGTTTTACAAGAAAGGGTGGAAGCTGCAGCCCTGCATTTATATTTGCATCGTAATCATTGTGCAAACAGAGATGGGCGTGGAGCAGGTCCGAGTAGCAAGCTTTCATATGTAAAAAATAGCAGGGTAAAACACTAGACTTTATTTAGTAAAAGTCAACAAATAAATCATTCGAGCAGGGCCGCAGTGTCTGGAACCAGAGGCATGAATACGAGCTGATCGCCCTGCAGAGCATCTATGATTCATAGGAGTTTATCCAGGATATGAAGAAGCCTGCAGGAGAGATTCAGGTGTGGCTTGAGCTTCCTGCTGCCTTTAAAAGGATTCAGAATTACGGTAAGAATACTATCACCATGCAGAATTTATGCAACTTATATGTATTTTGAGTTGTTTTAGTTTGATCCTGTTGCCTTTTTTTTTTTTTTTTTATAAAGTGAAACTATGAGGCAATATGATGTTTCTTTCTTCCTACCTCAGATTCTGATCTTTAAGCTTCCCGCAGTATGAAGGTTCTTTCCTTCCACCAATACTTTAACCTTTAGATTTCCTGATGATTACCCACCCTTCTCTCCACCCTCCCTCCTTCACTCCGATCTGCAGCTGACTGACTCAACCAAAGGTAACAAATAACACATTTTTCCTATTTGGCTTCACTTAGTGAACATCTCACTGATCTCTACTAGGCCACAGGGGGTACTATGGTGCTTTCTTCTGAATACAATTTCTGAGAGATGAGGCCCTGAAACACCTTGACATCCACACTCTGCTGGAGATTCCTCCTGTTCAATGAAAGACTCATCTGGCTAACAAAAAAATAAGTAATTTAGGGCCTTCAGTTGCAGATGATAATAAATCAACTCATCTTTTAACATCAGATGTGCCTTTAACATCTCAAGATGAAGCACATGTTTCAGACTTGATAGATTTATCTTGAAGGCAAACTGGATCTCAATCTGTTTTCACTGACTTTTTTTTTTAAAAGCCAATAAGTCATCTTAAGTAAAGCAAATACCTCTGCTGTGGTATCACTTCCCACAGGCTCCTCAAACCCACTAAATCCAATTGAGAAAGAATCACACATACAAATCCTGCACACATATACCCCTTTAAGCAAAACAACAGAGATACTTAATACTAAACACCATCTCAGTTGCTTCTGTCTCAGATTTTGATCCATGATGCAAAGCAGAAACAGAAGGTGTTTGCTTCCACACCAACTACATCAGTGTATATACAGTATGAACATAGAAAGGAGCCAGCTGAGATCCAAACCTGTGACTTCAGAGGAAAAGCACTGACGTCTAATCCACCTTAATACACTACAGACATGTGAATAAACCATGTTAAACAAATAGATAAAGGTGTTGTCTAGTTCATATTTTTGAGACACATTATTCCTTTGTCTTTATTAGTACCTATGTGTGATTTTTTTATTCAGCATACAGTAGATACTTTTCTACTTGTCCTCTAAAACTCTAGTTTCTCACAGAAGATGACTTCAGTTCTTCATATATCAAATCACTTGACTGTTGGTGCAAAGGTTCACATAAACATAAGCAGAATCAGATATAATACCCTTACTTTTGGTTTGTACTGTTAACAGAGGTGTCAAAAGTACTCACGTCCTTCACTTATGTAAGTAAAAATAAAGACAACTGTTTAAAAAGGTTTTGGTAAAAGTCAAAGTACCTATTGAGATGCTTTACTTAAGTAAAAGTAAATAAGTACAGTTTTTTTCATTGCACTTAAATAAAGAAGTAAAAGTTTTTACTTGAAATATACTAATGTGACTATTTATTTAAAATAAGATATGCAAAATAAATAGATGAATTTTAATCTTCTACTCACTGCATTGATGTAGATAACATAATAATGGTGAATTTTTTCTTTAACTTTAAAAAGCACCAGATAGTATAGCTTAAACTGAACATCCTACATCAGCATTTAATTTTGTTTTAAAGCTATGGTTATCATAGCATTAAAGTTGCAAACTATATTGAATTACAACACTATAAACATCCATCCATCCATTATCTGACATACACATCCCAATTGGGGTCACAAGGGGTGATGGTGCCTATCTCCAGCAGTCAATCGGCGAGAGGCAGGGTACACCCTGGACAGGTCGCCAGTCCATCACAGGGCAACACAGGACAAACAACCATTCATGGACACACTCACACCTAAGGAATATTTAGAGAAGCCAATTAACCTAACAGTCATGTTTTTTGGACTGTGGGAGGAAGCCAGAGTACCCAGAGAGAACCCACACATGTTCAGGGAGAACATGCAAACTCCATGCAGAAAGACCCTGGGCCAGAAATGGAACCCAGAACCTTCTTGCTACAAGTCAGCAGTGCTACCCACTGTGCCACTGAGCAGCCCACAAAATAAACATTTAAATTTAAAATATACTAAAGGGGAAATGTTTTGTGTGTCAGAATTTAGTATACTATCTGTAATGTTTCTTTAGCATCCTGTCTTTATCCATGTTACAGCTCTAAGGCCATGTCATTATCAGTGTAGAAGTAAGGAGTCAGTTTGGAGAAAAAAAAAAGTCCAATTGTTTATGCTCTTGTAGAAAGTAAAAATAGAAAGTCCTAAAGTAGATATAAAAAATCTACTTAATTACAGTAAAAAAAAAGTATATATACTTATCTCATTTGGCCGCTTAAAAAACTTTCTGCATTTGCTTTTCCTTTAACTCAGAGTTCAAAGTGAACATACGGAACCTTTATTGCTTTTGTTAGAGAGTAAAAACTCCACCTTTAACCGCACTGATTATTACAGTGGATTCTTAAGCCTTGCATCAGACTGCAGTATATTTATGATGAGTCAGAGGGACGGGCTCACATGAGTCAGGAAGCTGGATGGTCACAATAATCAAGCTGACATGTAAACAGCGGTTTTCTGTAATGCTGGGGATCATTTTTCTATTTTTAGGTATTAAATCCGCTGCATACTTTGATGTATTAAATTAAGCAGGACATTTAAACTGTTTTTTGTTTTTTTTTATATCAAGGAGTTGCTGGGAAGCAGCTGTTGTAGCTCTGCTGTCACTTGGAGCTAGATGAATATGGACTTGGAAGAGCAGGAAAACGAACTGCTTGCTCTGCAGAGCATATTTAGTTCAGGAGAGTTCCTCCGAAATGAGTCAGAGTCTGCCGGAGAATTCCGAGTTTCTGTGGAGCTTCCTGCGGGATTCAGTGTGCTCCTGAACAATGGTAAATAACCTGATTATGCTTATAATGTGTTACTCATTCATATATACTGCAATGGTTTAGTTTTAGTTAAATAAAATAGTGTGTATTTTTTATTAATTCCTGATAGAGATTGCAATATAGTGTTTTCCTAATAAGTCCATAGGTATTATTTTAGTGAAAGTGGGGACTTTAGAACTGACGCTTCAGTGACATTTTATCCATTGAAAAAATCAGTATACAATCCAAATTTGATAATATAAATGGGGATATAAAAATAGGTGATTGAGTTTAGAAGGTAGACTGAAATGCATCAATGTTTTTTCAGAAGGTCAGAAGTCATGGTAAAACAAATTTTGACATACCTTCATAATCAACCTCAACATCAACTAGAAGATCTGCCTCCCATTCTACTTTTAGAAATTTGAGGAACCACCAGTAAATCCGTTTATACTTAAAGGTTTAGTGGAGGCTTTTCACGAATTTTTGAAAATACCCCTCCTCTCCACTTTAAAAGAAAAATGCGCATGAACAACCCAGTTTACTTTCCAAAAAAATCCACTATGTCAGTCTCACCACCAGTAAGTGAAAAAGGGGACGAGCACGTAGGACGGCCTTATGTAAACACATGACCAGAATGATTGACAATTAGGAGGACCACTTATTTAGATGATCCACCTGGAAAAAGAAAACCCTCCACTATGCCTTTACATTAAACCAAGCCTCTTTAAATTATTATGTATATTATAGTTTTGTATGTTAAGCTACAAAAAAAACTGTTTTTCAATTTCTCATCCATTAATGGCCTCAGTAATACATTTTGATATTTACTTTGTCTTGCTTTTCCTCCTATAAGGTGAAACAACGAGGCAATATGAAGTCTCTTTCCTTCCACCACTACTGTTAACCTTTACACTTCCTGATGATTACCCATCCTCCTCCCCTCCTTCCTTCACTCTCACCTGCAGCTGGCTGACTCAGTCACAGGTAACAAATAAAGAATACAAGTCCACGCACACACAGGAAATGTGTGACTGGTTAAAAAAAAACACACCTAAAACAATGTCATTAAGACAGAGAACTCCAAAGTTATACTAGGCACGTTTATTTATCTCTTACATTTCAATAAAATGAAATTTCCAAGTGTTTTACATGATAAGCGATAGAGAAAGGTAGGGATACAGACTACAATAAATTATCTGTAGCACTGTAAGAAAGATTCTAAGCAGGTTTGATATAAAATGGCAGGGTGCTATTATCATAGGCTTCTGGTTTGTTCCAGATTAGTGGAGGATAATAACTAAATGCTGCTTCTTTATCTTTTGGTTTGATTCGAAGGAGTGTTGACTTAAGCCAGAAGACCTGAGTAATGGAGGCAGTTTTAGCAAGTCTGTAATGTATATAATGTATTGTCTAACATAAGCATTTAATTGTCTGAAACACAGGGAGCCAGTATGGAGAGGTATTAAGCACTGAGGCAAATGTTTTACTTTCTTAGTTTTAGTGAGGATGCAGGCAGCAGACATATTTACTGTTTACTGTATGTTCACCTGATCTTGATATAGTTCAAATTACTGAGGACCAAGTACTCAGAACATTTTCTAGCTGGATTAGTAATACTTAACAAGAATGCTTATTTTATTTTACTCAGATTCAAATACAACTCCTCGACTGGAGGAAGTAGGAGGTGATAGGTAACGCAAAACATTACCTATTGTCACTCATGTGCAATATTCTTCTCTCTCACTGTGCAATAGCACATGCCAACTACTGTGCTGTCTGTGTATTTTTTTTTAACTTATTTATAAGGTCAGTACATCTCTTCAGTACAAATGCAATAATCAAAGTGAACTACTGTGTGGTCTTTCCTTAGGTCTCTACAGTGCAGATATTTTTATATCTAAAGGAAACATATTCTAGGAAATGACAACTTTTGATGCTCTTTTGTACTACATATTCTCTTTTTATATTGTGTGTTGTATTTTTTATCTTTAATGGCATTTTGCTTTAACTATTTTTACTCTATATCAGCTACTGGGACCTGAATTTCCATGAAGGACTAATCCCAAGGATAAATAAAGTTGACAAATAAAGTCTAGGTCTAATAAAAGTAAGAGGTACAGCACAGCAAAAGCATTTTTTTTTCAAAATGTTACTCCAGTAAATGTAACTGAGTAAATGTAACTAGTCAGTAGCCACTTCTGGTCACATCCATGTGATGATTTGTTGTATTAATCTAATCAACTCTTGAATGGCTTCTAATCACCTGGTGACATCCCAGTGAAGACCTGTGTTTCATTTTATTATTATTTCTTTTATAATGTGACTCTTAGCAGCTGAATTAAGAAGAAAACTTTCCAAACAAGCAGATAGCTCTCTTCAGTTGGTCACATAACAATTAAACAGCAACCTGAACTTTCTTAACATACAGCCTATTAATCTCTAATCCATCCTTCAATTAACATAGCTACTAAAAAATAGGGCAAAAAGGACACATCTACACACTAGAAAGATCTACTTTTTTTATTCAAGTGAAATGGTGTTTCTTCTCTCTTTCTTTCAGCTAATGTCACTAAGTAATCAGCTGACTGAGCTCTACCAGGCCACTGGTGGCACTGTGGTGCTCTTCTCCTGGATGCAGTTTCTGAGAGAGGATGCCCTGAAGCACCTAGATATCCACACTTTGCTGGAGCTTCCTTCTGATTCATCTAAGACTCCTCAAATAAACCAAATCAAACAGGATGATGATTCTGAAGCCGGCGAACAGAAACGCAATCCAAAATCTGGATCTCTAAATGCCCAGAATCACTTGTCAGCTAACCTCTCATCTGGAGATGCTGTGAACAATTCAAACTTCAGACTTTCTAAAAGCTCTGAATCTACTGATAACTGCCAGAAAGATTTATCCTCAAAAGCAGAAAAACCTGAACTTCCTGGGTCTGTTTCAGTCAGACAGGAAGTGGTCCATGGCATCAATCCAAATAAAGACCAAGAGTACTCGGGTCTCTCTTTGACTCCATCCCAGATGCTTCTCTCCCAGATTTTGATCCATGATGCAGATCAGAAACAGAAGGTGTTTGCTTCCAGGCTGTTTGACTGTGGTGTTTGTTTCTCGAACTGCCTTGGATCAGAGTGTGTGCAGCTGTACGAATGTGGCCACATCTTCTGCCGGGCCTGTCTCAGAGATTTCTGTAAAGCCCAGATTACAGAGGGGAATGTTGGGGGAGTTACGTGTCCTCAGCCGGACTGCCCTGCCACACCAACCCCTGCGCAGGTACTCTACGTCACTTTCTGAAATATACTGAAGTAAAAATAAACCATAATGCAAATGCTCAAGACAGGACCTTATCCATTGGTTTCATCTGCCTGTGGTGACATGTCCCAGTTTGACTAAAGGAAGTGTAGAAACATTTTTAATGTTATCAGTTATGTATTTGCATTATTCTTGCTCCTTTATGTTTTTTTAAATCAATAGCCGGGATCAAACCTTTAAATATGCAGATCTTATACAGTACACTTTTTGTTTCCTCTCTACATCTCTAATATCTGTTCTAGGTGAAATGTCTTGTGGGAGAGGAGCTCTTTCACAGATATGATCAACTTCTTCTTCAGTCTACCCTGGACCGCATGCCTGGTGTGCTTCATCTAAATTACTTTCAATAGATCCCAAATATATCATATAGGGTTAAAGGACAATCTGCTCATCACTCTTTTTATCTCCCCTGTCTGTTTATGGACATCACATACTGTCCTCGGCATTCTTGCGGAGCTGCTGTTATTTTGGAGAAGTCCTACCAGGCAGCGATGTGTTCCGTCTGCAGCTTTGCCTTCTGTGTAGACTGCAAAAAGACATACCATGGAACAAGCAAGTGTTATGAAGAACCTAAAATGTCTGAACAGATGAGTGAAGATCCACTCAAGGGTCCGCCACAGACAGCGGGTATGCAGCAATATGCATCCTTCCTGTTTAAAATTAACATCTCTGTGTATCTGTATAGTTGACAATGTCTTAATATTAATTGTTCATCAACACCTTTTATGCTTTACAACATTAAAAGAGTATTGAATGCAGCATTAAGATCTTACATTAAAGAACACCACTAACTAATGTATAATTATGATGTGGAAGGAATAGAGAACATATTTCAAAAAAATTTTTTGCAAACAAAATTATGATTGATGTGGGGAATGTATTTATATTAAACCCCCCATTTTAAGCGTTTTAAGCGGTAAACGCTGATCGTCATCTTCTCAGAAAAGCTGATCCAGGAGCATCCTGGGAGACAGATGCTACAACCAAGCTTGGATCACTTCTGCAGAGCTGTCAGCATACAGCTATATATCAGAATATTTAACTAGGATCTTAATCCTAATAAACTGGCAGAACAGATTACATTCTAAATGTAGTTTCTTGCTTAAAAACATTAAAAAAAGTTCAAACTACTTTTTTCCAATTAAAGCAATAAAGCCAAGTCACTCTGGACTGCAAAGACTTGCCATAAACTTAATCCATAGAGCATGGGTCACCAACCTTTTTAAGGCTGAGGGCCACTTCAAGGGTACCGAGTCATAGGAAGGGCTACCAATACGGACCCATGCACAGCAAGGGTCAGTGTTTACCTAAACTTCATTATACATTATAAACATTTTTATTGTTTCCTTTAAGTTCTAATTGTATTTTAGATATTGTCGTTTTGAAAGGATCTACACATTATTTAAAAAGGAGAGAAACAGAATAGAAGAAAATTTCAAACTTAGCCCACTGGTGAATTGTTCTTTTCTTAGAAGTCTGAGCGCACCCCATGTGGTCCATCAGGGGCCCCTTGGTGTAGCGGGCACCACGTTGGTGACCCCTGCCATAGAGTTCCAAGCATCCACAGTGTAGGACTTCAAAATGCACAAGTTTCCAAGTTGAGGGGTGGGACGCCTCTTTGAGAATTAATTAGGGCCAGCTACAGTATTCATCCCTTTGTTAGTTCTTACTTTTCCTTTTATTGGCCTGCCCTAAACTGACCTGTTTCCAACCTGTTTCAGTTCAAATCAAAATCTATGTAACTAGATTTCTTCTTGGTGAAAAAAAAGATATTTTCTTCTACTTTAAAACTATGCTCTATTTTTTTATTCAATTGGATAAAATCACGGTCAAATATGTCAAATAGTTTTGCAATGCTAAATATTTTTGCAAAACCTTATTTTTTTTAATGAATTTTATATGCAAACATTTTTAATTAAAAGCAGAATGCAAAAGGATGTGATGTGAAGTTTAGAGCTTAATGAGAAACTTAATGTCGATGAAAACATTAAATGAACAAGATCAATTAAGAGCAACAAAATATACAAAAAAACACATTTGCTATTTTAACATGTTTGAAACAGATAAACCCAAGTAAAAAAAATGAATTTTTTATGTAGTTTAATGTGCTGATTAAATCGTGTCATAGGTTTAGGCATTTATAGTTAAAGGAAAAAAATAAAATTATAGATCAAAGAAGAAGTAAAGTTTCTGCAAACAACAAGCAGATAGTTTTAATTAGTTAGGCATGAACTACAGTTTTACTGTACGTCTTGCATGTGTGAATGTGTGTTTCAGGCTGTTTTTTGTGCAATTCTTAGAGGGAATGAAGGCACTTCTTGAGGACTATGCCAAAGGCAGCAAGCGGAGGCGTCACCTCCTGGAGAGAAGATATGGCCGTAAATTGCTTCTCTATACCATTGAGAAGCATGCAACTTCCATGTGGATAGCTGGAAATACCAAACCCTGCCCTCACTGCTTCTGCCCAATACAGGTACATTGAGTTATCACAGGTAAAACATTTTATTTTTCAAAGTTTTAATAATTCCTGTTACTTTCTGCACTTATTCTTTTTCTTTTTTTTGGTTTGCAGAAAGATGGTGGATGCAACCGCGTGTATTGCACTCAGTGTTACCGGCCATTTAACTGGCAGTGACTCTTTAAACTGGAGTCTGAGGTTTCATTCAGATCTTTGAAGTAAGGGCAATATACTGCTGTTGTGATTACATGATAGAAACAAATCAATATTCTAGAGCTACTTTGCCCTACCTGTGGATTTTATCTTTGATGGCATCATATGCAAGTCCAAGTTCAGAGTCCATTTTCTAAGGTCATATGAAGGGTCAGTAGCTTTAACCGGGCTGTATTTGAACCACCTTTAACTCTTAAACCAGAGTCTAAGGAAATTGAGTAGTAGTACCAGACCTATATTTCTCTTTCTATAGAATAAAAAATTTGAATGCATTAAAAGTCATTATTATTGCTTTCCAATTACAGTAAGCTTTGTTTAAATTATATTAAGGCCTCAAAAGCATCTGAAGGTTGGGTTGTTTTCATCTCCCCTTTGTTTTATTTTTTGTTACACATTAAAATAGTAAGTAGATAGTAAGTAGATATATATATATGTTTTTTTAATAATCCCTTAATTTAATAGATCATTATAAGAATAACTTCATCTGAGTCTAATGTATAACTATACCAAGGTAACACATGTGTATTATTAACAAATAAGCTGAAGAGATATGGAAATTATAGTCAGTTCTACATACATGGGCGGTCCTAGACAGAGGCCAGCAGTAGCCAGTGCCCCTGTGGAACTGGTCCTGGGCCCTGTTAGGTCCTAAAGATGCAATACTAAATACATTTCTTATAATAACATATACTGGGCCAGAAACTGTAATTGATTGGGCTTGTGAATCTATTTAATTTTTTTATCTTCATAGTTTTATTTCAACAATGGTTTAAAAATAAAAGTTGTACTTAGCTTTAACTGTACTGAGATAGGATGGCAGTTTTAATGGTGAAACCAGCTATTGCAGTTTTCTGGTCAATAACCGGTCATTAAAAGGCCTGACATGCCGATATTTTCTTTTTTCATCAATATCGATATTTTCTTGATAACAGTTGTTATAGGATCACATTACAGCTTGAATATTTTAACATTGCAAGAATAGAATAGAAAATGCCTTTATTGTACCACAATGGGGAAAAGGGGGCTTAAAGGAATCCTTTAGTCACTAAAAGACAAAAAAAAAAAAAAAAACATGTAAGCCAAAGCTGACATGCAACTCACTGATCCGGTGCCTGTGGAAAAATGGCACAAATAATTGTACTTTTTAAGAATAATCATAAGAAGTCCCTTTTTGTACGTTTCCATACAAGCCTTAAAGGGAACTGTAGGACAGAAAGGCTTACAAGGCATTAGCTCTGATTTAAAACCAAATATATGAACATTTTATGTTACAAATTTTGTGATCAAAATTACTTGACTGCTAAAGATCATCTATTCGAAAAAGTAGAATTCTGCACCGAATTTCTGCTGTTATGTTCCTCTGGCCTGTTTTAGACCACAAACACTAGATGGCACTAAAGATCAGCAGCAGGTTAAAGGAATAGTACACCCAAAAAAGTAGAATTCTGCACCGAATTTCTGCTGTTATGTTCCTCTGGCCTGTTTTAGACCACAAACACTAGATGGCACTAAAGATCAGCAGCAGGTTAATGAGTCTGGGTAAAAATGTAGGCAAATTTGCTTAAAATTTTAAAGATAAAGTTAATTATGTTTTTGTTCATCATATAATTTATTTTCAAAGCAAAAAAAAAACAACAACAACTAATCATTTGGATTGCAATTGTTCCCAGTTCTTGCACTATTAGGTTTTATATGGAAGGTGTCAATGAAGCTTTTTGTATTACAGTTTAAAAATAAAGTTAGATACCCCCAGTACCTCAGCTTTGAAAATAGAAAAATGGGCGTTTGACACCTACAGTACACTGAGATTTCCTGTTATTGAAACATCCCCCTCGCTTCCTATGCTGCTCTGTAAAAACAGTGACACAAAGGTCTTGTTTTTTGTTCCAGGAATGATCACACACAGGGGTTTAATTGGTTACTTAAAAGATGTACAGGGGTCCAAGAAGGGGGTGGAAATGCCTCGAAAAAGTTTTTCAAATTGAAACTTTCTGCCATGGTTTATCAACACCTAATGACATCCATGTTATAATAATTGACCTTTATTGATCTCACACTTGAGACTGCAGGCTGTGAAGATCGAACTGCATACTTGCAACCTCCTCAGAGCACAAGCGCACTGCTCTACCCACTAGGCCAACAATCCCCTAAATAAGGTCCACATCTTTGGCTCCCAATGCAGATTTTTATTAGATCCAAGAAAATGATCTGGCTGGGCCCTTTGAACACATATTATTGCCAGTCGTGTTTTAAAATTATAAGTTTATTATAAAGTAAAATCTTGCAGGATTAAAAGATAATTCTGGGATAAACTATAAATACAGGAAAATCCAGAAAAGAAAAAAAGCCTTAGCTTCATGATGATTTAAGAGCCTGGCTGCAAAAAAACTGGCAGAGGCTGTCATAGACATGTTATAAACGTACATCTAGTGATTGAATAGAAAGTATTAGATAAAAGCATGTCAGTGTTTTAGAATGGTCCAATTTTAAATCCAAATAGGAGTGTTAGTTAACAATTGAAAACCAGTAAGAAAGGTCATAAAGTTTGATCTGTCGATGTTTAAAATCATCCGAGGCGTACCTGAAAGGATTACAGCATTAATAGTTGGTTTTATAAACTAACTTAACTATGGGGGAATAAATAACAGCATATACTAAGCTGTTCAGATTTTTCTTTTTTTACAATGGAATATGTCCTTATGTAGTTATGTGAAAACTTTGTGATGTCAGTCTAAATAGGAAAAAATGCAATTAAGGTAAATAACTCCCTTTTTCCTGCAGATGTAATCATTCTCATCAAAGCTAGCAACATCTAAAAGGCATCAATTCAAAGAAACCCAAACTATTATGTTACCATAGGTTACAATTACATTTCAGGGATGTCTTTTTGCATTAGAGTCTGGAGAACTTTTGATTTAATTGACCTAATTAGGTCAATTAAGAATCATAAGAACCATCTCATGGCACAGATTTATTTCTTAAACTCTCAGTGAAGCTACTGACTTCAGGCAAACATTCTACCTTTTACACCCACCAGATGACACATAAACAATTCAGCAGAGGCACAGCTTTTTTAGTCAGCGGTATATAAAGAATAATGGATACAGAGGATAGGAAACTAGGCTCAGGGGAACATTTTCTCACTTATAACCAATAACTGCACTGGTGCCTTTTTCTTCTGGAGCACTGTGAGCTGAGCCATAGAGACCAGATGAGACTCTCATTCACTGCAATGATCATAAACACAGCCCAGTTATTATCATCCCCATGTTTATTCATCCGCCATAAAACACAAACATACAGGGACTCAGAAATCAGGGCATTGGTCATCCAGGCATTCATTCAGACGGCTAAATGGTGCGTTTTCAATGTTGTTTAGAGGCACTAAATATGTGCTTTTTTTTTTTCTTTCTTTTTTCTCATGAAGATCACAGGATCATATGGTGTCCTGCAAGGATGCTGCTATCAAGTTCGTGGCCCTGGACCAGAAAAAAAAAAATAAAAAGGAGGATCATGAATTTGTCTGTTAATCAGGATACATGGGCTTCAGTGTGGGACAGGAGAAATAAGGGATATGTAATAATTTTGCAGCAGTTTGGGATTACGCAGAGAAGCTTTCCTTTGGAAGTTAAAATTCTTACTTCAAATTTAGTTCTTAGTTTCACAAAATTTTCACTTTTGTCTTCAAATTGAACCTCACGACTGAATCTTCACTGACATTGAATTTTAAAATGGTGCCTCTGGACTTTAAATGTCAAAGTTTGGATCTCATAATTAATGCTGTATTCAGATAAAATAATTAACTTGTATAACAAAAGTATGAATTTGAAAATAATATTTTTTTTATTTTTAGTCTGATATTTATGACATTGTTTCACAAGTTTATGTCTTTACATCTCACACTGTGTTGCTCAAAACCAAATTTTTCTTACCTTTAAATCATTATACATAGTTACTGGTGCCCCAAACATTCAGTGTATGTTTTACTTAGTAATTTCAGCGTGAATTAAATTTTTATTTCCCTGGGGTATTTATTAGACATAACACAGAAGTTTATTTTTTCAGTCAGTCGACTGAAAATCTGACATTCGAGTATGGTATGCATTTAAAATTCAGGAAATGGGGTGATATAGTTCTAGACTTTGGATTAAGTAATTGTCTGATGCTAAAGGACAGCGGTAAACATGAAACCAAAATACCATCTGCAAGAACAAATCCTTGATTAACCCTGCAGGTAAGATACTGACTGTTTATAATTACACCAGGAAACCCAACTTTAGACAATTCAACATATTTTTTAAGGGATTAAACTGACGCTAATGATCCTGAGATATAAGAGGAGACTTTTTAATTATCATCTAAGAGCTTTTATGATTTATAAGTAAGAGTTGACTGAACCCGCCATGATCCATTTTTACCATTGATCCTCTAATGCTAAAGCCATTAGCCTTATGACAGCCAGGCTGGATAACAGTTTATTAGCAGCTTTAAAACCTAGTTTAAAATGACTAACCTTTATGTGTAGATTTGTAGCAAACAGAAAATAAACAAAGAGCTGTTTCTGATGCTATCAGCAAAACAGTTAAAATTACTTTTTAGAGGTTTCACAGTTTGTTGTCTTTCTTTCTTTTCTTTTTTTTTTTTGTTTTGTTTTGTTTTTCTGTTTACACCTATCCTCACATTGTTGCCTATCAACCCTGCTTGGTTTAGTCCATCATTCCCGGGGCATGGAAAAAACACACAGAGTCACTGATACAATACACAGTGTGGACTGCTCATCATCGTAAACATTACATTTAAAATTGTAAAGAGGTATATACTGAAAAACATGGTCTTCACTTGAATTTAGCATGAATGTGCTTCTGTCTAAACACCAAGGCCCTTTTATCTATGCAGTGCAAAGTCATTATGCTTTTCACTACTAGCTTCCATCCATCTTTTCATAGATTCCTCTTTAAGATGAATATATCCAGAAAGATCCATGAATAAACGTCCTCAAAATATATTTCTTCTCACCAACTCCTCAGCATTCGATAGCTGCAACTTTCTTCATGCACAGGATAAAACAGTAGTTGAGGTGCAACATGTTAAGCATTTCTGTCCTCTATAGCAAAACATTAAAGTTTCACATTTAACCCATCTTTTATGAAACAATACAGCACTTTTCACAATAAATAAATAACTTAATAGTTTGAAATTCTGATTTTTATGACGGCAATACATTTCCCAGCTATAGTGAAAGCTGAGAGAAGAGGTTCATTCAGGTATTTTACTCCTTTTAAGTAAAAAAAACAGACAAAAAAAAAACAAATATTCTAATAAATTTAGTTATATCATTTATTTATATAAGGAAATCATACCTTCCTAAAACATTTGTGCAATCCATGCCCATCCTTTAGACAGTACAGTGCTATAAAGCAGCATCACAGACCTTCCTATTGGTGTTACCTTGATGAAAGGACAAAATAATCTTTTAAGATAATTCTCTAATCAGATTTGTCCTGTGCTGCTTTTGAATTAATAGAGATTTTGGCTACAGCAAATGGTCATTAATTAATGATTAATTACCATATCAATAGTTAATATTATTCTGAATGTCATGACAGCAATTACATAAGCAATCTACCGATATTAAGCTTGCAAGATTGGTAAGAATGAAAAGGATCTGCTCCAGTCAGATAAAAAAAAAACTCATTTTAGATGGACATGCAAAATGATTCGTAAGGTAGAAAGTGCACAGCACATGCTATTCATGCAAGAAAGCTGGTGGTGGCAGCATCATGCTGGGGAAATGCATTTCTTAAGCAGAGATGGGAAAGATGGTTGGAGCAGATATCTCCACAAATCAGAGGCGTATCTTTCTTAATGTCCTTATTAGGCAGCATTAAAAACAGTATAATATCTGTTTTAGCCACCTTAATGTAAGTGTTGATGTGAGTTCATGCCAAATTTTAAGGTCTACTTTGCTCAGATAAATCTGACAAAGAAACATCAATCTTTGGTTAATTTGCTCATAGGTTTTGAAAAAGTTAAATCTGTAACTACCTACTAAAATTGGATTTAAACTAGATCAAAATTAAAGTGAGTTGAACAATGTCGCTATAACTGATTGGTCGGTTAGGTTCTGATCACCCTTTCCTGCACTGGAAAAACAACCTAGAAATAAGTAAAAATGTCTCAAATTATGTGTATTTACCCTTTTTTGAGTAGGTAAATGAGATGGTTTGCCAATGGAATGAGTATTTTTACTCTTAAAATAAGATATTTAGATAAAATGCACTTGAAATAAGACAATGCAATTGTGTTTTCTTATTTTAAATGTAAATTGTCTTGTTCCATTGGCAAAATGTCTATTTTACCTTCTCAATTCAAGAACAAATGCACTTATTTTAAGAAAAATGACTAATCTAGGTTTTGATTTTTTTCCAGTGTGACCACCTTTTTCTAGGGTTTATTGTTTCCTGAACTTGCTGGGCTGTTAGGTAAGATTCACTGCAGAGCGAATCCTATTTTGCATTCCGGTCTCTTTTGTTGCAGCTAATTTATTTATATATTAGTGCTTTTAAGGCACACTCATATTATTTTATGGAAAAAATAAAAGATGAGTGCTTGAAAGGTTGTGTCCTCATCACAGTTCTGGTTAGAGCTCTGGTTACATCAGCTCTTTATTTTTCCGTTTTGGATTAGAATCCGCAGCTCTTTGGCCTCTTTCCTACCTTTCTTTGACCTTGCCCAGACCTTAAACAAGCACTAAGACAGCTGTTTCTTTACTATTGGTGTTTTGTGTTTGACTACGGCCGCTATAAAGTCATAACAGGATTTTATCACAGAGACCAACGCAAAGTATATTTGTGTTGCAGGAGGTAAGTGACATGTTCTTTACTAGATAAAATCAGGATGGCATGGCATGGATTCGCATTCAGCCCCCTTTATTTCGACACCTGCAAATAAAGTCCATTACAGCCTACAGGAACCTCTTAGTTATTTTTCCACGTGTCGGTAATTTAATCGCATCTTAAAAAAACAGAAACATGTAGCTGTTGAAAAATGATGAGTTGCGCCCTTCACAAATCTTTAAGTTCTGCAAGAAGGAAGTTATTGCTGAAAAGTTAAGACACAAAGTAGGGGGTCAACAAAAAACATGTAGAAAGATCTGCTCTAAACAGAACAGTGGTGGAAATTACCACTGCGCATCATGACGAACAAACCAACATGGTGGAAAGTGGTGGTGGCAGCATCATGCTGTGGGGAGGCTTGCCCCATCATAGCTGATGGGAACACATGGAGGTAATTAAATGCAGACTGCAGCAGATTTTAATATAATGTCAAACAATAACTGTCAAACGTTTCAGTCTCTAGATAAAAAGAAAGTGCTGACTAAAGATAACCGTGCACGGCAAGCTGGATTGTTGTGAGATCTGAGTTTTCAGTCTCACAACAAATCCATCTTGAAAGACTCACGCTAATACGTCCGTTTCATAACCACCAGCAGGTCGGACCAATGACATGCCAGCAGGGTTTTTGGGGCGGGAGATGTAAGAATGATGACAGTCAGAAGGGCCTTTCCAGAGCATAACAAATATGGCTACGCCTGGAGGACTCACCTGTCGATACCGCAATTGACTCGGTTTTAGCTAAAATAGCAACTATTTCTCGTTTAAAAAAGAAGCAAAGAGATGAACTTTGTGCATTTGTAGATGGGAAAGTTGTCTGTGCTTTTCTACCAGCAGGATTTGGAAAAAGTGTTGTGAAAACGCTGAAGAAGCTGAAACGTCATGATTTGCTGCAACGATTGGCTAAAAGCGTATTATGGAAGGCGGGTACTAGCTGGTACGTTACCCAATTAGCTCGAAGTATTGTTCTAAATGTCCTTTCTTTTCACGGACAGACTGAACGGCAGCCATCCCAGATTGATAACTTAGAACTCAACTCAGTTCTACACATATCAATCTGGCTACTGTCAGGTTAGACTAAAGGGGGCTGCATACAAATGCGCTCTACACAGATTTTAACCCAACACTTTCCCTCAATGTTCACTACTTTGTTTTGGCCTTTTAAATAAAATCACAAGTAAATATACTGAAGTTTGTTGAAGGGTTATGAATACTTTTGCAAACTCCTGTAATTAATATAATTGAATTCCAAAAGGATGCTTTCACTTGCTCTTTTCAAGAGGTTGAAATATGTCAAGGTAGAAACACTTTCATTGAAGCACGCCCCTTTTTAGCTTTCACTTTACGTGATTTAGATTAAAAGGCAAGATCATCCATTTGTGATCCGTTTTAAATGGATTTTGTTTTTTTTTATTTTAATAAATAACATACAGAAAACAATAAAAATAATTCTAACATTGACAAAATTATGTGTTTTGGCACTGATAAAATACCTTCTATAACTCGGCATGTCAGTCAGGATTAAAAGGCATCTCTTTTTGTAGCACTGACTTCATACAGTTTTTTCGTAATGTAGGGATGTTTGCCAAAATTAAAGGCACCTTCAAACTCAAAATGCCTCATGCTTGTGTCTTCTTCAGCTCAGTGTAGCGAACTGAAACAGTAAATCAGATAAACAGACAGAATAATCTAATTTAACTCCAATTATAGGAATTATCTTTCAGGCAAAATACAGAAACTTAGCTGGAAGTGGGCCTTGAGAGAGAGAGAGTAACATCACAAGTCTGAAAATCCAATCTGCTATTTTAATCTGCAATAAAACCAGCTTATTTTTTCTGCTTGAATTGACCAGAAACAATCAAGAGCCCTGAAACTTGCAAACTAATTGAAAGTTTGGAGTTAAAGACTTTAGACGATGTATTCCTCTGTGAGTAAATGTTTTTCTCTATTCGGTTGCTTCAGCGAAAACCTGCATCCAAAGTGGTTTCGCTTCACAAGCAACCTCTTCTGACACAGCAGTCAAACTGGCGCTATTATTAGCTTTTAATTAAACACTGGAGGTACCAGAAGGTACTTTAAGGAATTGAGGAGGGTCCACAGCAAAATATAAAAAAGAAAAAAAAAACATACAGTGCTAAAACACTAAGTCTGTGTGCACAAGGATGATTATTCAAACTCATAGTAGATTAAGATGCTGAGAATAATAAGAATCAATACGATTCATGTTTTATACTGTATTTATAGCTATAATATAATTTGGTTTTATTTACATACGATCGAAGTGATTTATAATGATAGAAGATATAAAGCAGCTTATCGAAAAGCTTTACCACAGTACAGA